CCGCCTCGAAAAATGTGACACAGCTTGTCTTCCACATATAGCTGACACGGCGTAAAACACAACTCACTCACTCTCTGCATGACAGAATGCAAATACAACAAAACAAGTTGCCATGACATTTAATACTCAAAATTTACCACCCTATAAACAATTCTTCTTTTTTTTGTTCAATATTTAATTGTGCAGGAAAGGGTCTATAACACGTACATACACACAAACAAGACGTTTGCCATTATTATAATGAGGATAACGTATTATTAATGACGACGATAATAAAATTGCAACGACAATAATAATCACAATTGTTGCAATGTGTGAAGCCAACTTTGTTAGTGGGTGAGTGAGTGAGTGAGTGGAGTTGACGCAATTTTCAAGCCATATCAAAGCGAGGAAGCCAAGATAGGGCTTCTTACATTGTATCCATGAACGGAATCAAAGCCTGATCTTCGGCTTGACGAGGAACCGTTTAACCTCTGGGTTACCCAACCGCCCGACCACAAAAGTAACACAGTCTATTATCACCAATGTTATACTTCGTAAGGTGAGGTGAACTGCTGTTCAACATCGCGTTCAAGATTATTGCACATGCGTGCGTGCGTGCGTGCGTGTGTGTGTGTGTGGCTGTTTTTACTATTCCGGCTAATGCGCGCCGGTTAGAGAGTGGAATCCCACTGAGATACCATGCTGCAGTTTACCGTGGATACCCCACTTAGTCACAATATACTGAATCCGAGCCTTTTTTAACCCTTAACTGTCGAACGCCAGGAAGGGTAGCATCAAGTACCATTTTGTAACGTATTTTGGTATGGCGCAGCCGGGGCTCGAACCATAGACCTTCCACTCCCAGGGTAGACGCTCTATCCACTAGACCACGGAGTCGACTATGTACTAAGTAACAAGAGTGAGTGAGAATGGTTTTACGCCGCTTTTAGCAATATTCCAGCAATATCACAAACAAACTGGTCAAAATGTAAACAAGTTATAACGCTTGCGTGGAATTTGATTGGCTGGTTCTCGAACTTTGTCTTTCTGGTACTACTTTTGATTCATTTATAAACTCCTTCATGAGATCATAAAAATGAATGGAAACCATACAATGTACGTTTATTCATTAAAACAAAACAGTGTACATGGTGCATTTGCATCGATAAATAAATATACCATAAATGACAAAGACGTTTCATGTTTGTTTTAACGCTCTCTGTGTAGAAGAAACGGCAAAGATTGGCCAAACGAAGGGAATGACTAAGGCCTTTGATAACCCATGACTACAAAATTAAATTAATGAATGGTGAGCTTCAGTTGGTTGGTTTGTTGTACATGTATAACGCCACACTCAGCAATATTCCAGCAAACCGACTGCGGTCTGTACATAATCGAGTCTGGACCAGACAATCCAGTGATTCATCATGAGCATCGATCAACGCAATTGGGATCGATGACATGTATCAACAAAGTCAGCGAGCCTGACCACCCGATCCCGTTAGTCGCCTTTTACGACAAGCATAGTCGTCTTTTACGGGAAGCATATCTACCCCGGATCTTCACGGAGTGTGAGCTAAGTACTTTGTGTGGTTTTAGGTTGAATAGATAAGCAGCTGGGTGGAGATTTCACTAGAAGTTTGACTCCTCTACAGCGATACGCCATCTCAACGTAAAACGTGTTGTTTCATTGAAGTAAGATTTTCTTTGTTTACATTTTACACACTTTGTGTTCATACGCACTTTGCTCTCATTATAGTGAGTGAGTGAGTGAGTGAGTATGGTGTCACGCCGCTTTTAGCAATATTCCAGCAATATCACGGCGGGGGACACCAGAAATGGGCTTCACACATTGTACCCATGTCGGGAATCGAACCCGGATCTCGTTGTTAAATCATCGTTGTTAACGGATCGTTGTTAACGGATCCTTGTTAACGGATCGTTCTTAACGGATCGTTCTTAACGGATCGTTCTTAACGGATAGTTGGATACTTAACTCTCTGTCCCTCGCTGAAGCTCAGATCCTCAATTTTGGATAAATCACCAACCATTACATGTCACTTTGTTAAACTACTTTTTCTCTACTTCATAACAGTATCTTAAATTATAGTGATGAGTTGGTACAAATATACAACTTGTTCATGCCATTTTAGACGAATTGCTGCTTTTGAATGTATATCCACTTTGCATTTCATCGGTACGATATTGCAGCAAACGGACTATAATGTACATATGTTCTTCTGTCGCCCAAAGTGAATGACTATGGTTTCATGCCGTTTTTAGCAATATTGCAGCAGTATCACGGCGGGGCACACCAGAAATGGGCTTCACACATTGTACCCATGTGGGGAATCGAACCCGGGTTTTTTGTGTGACGTTCGAACGCCTTAACCACAATGTTCCCCAAAGCAGGTTCATAGCAATATCTTATCATACATCATACGTCATATGTCAAAGGCCAACATCACTTCGGGATTTCCTCCCATATTAATACTGACACACTGTAATATAATTGAAAGAAGCGTTAAAACTCACAATATGTGGTGATTACTTAATCCCAAAACGAGGCTTACATTATCTTGCTATTTTTAAACGGACCTAGACTTACATTTATCCTCTGAAATCCTTTTATTACACGTCAATATCCTTCTTGACTCTGAAAATAAAATATGAATTCCCAATATATGCTGATTTCATAGAGCCAGATAGCGCTGGCTAGACTTTTGTATATGTGTCTAGATTAAAAAATTTTCATAAAACATATATATTCCACGGTCATGGTGCAGGACTAAAACGAGCCTAATAGGTAGTTATAACAATAGAAGAAAACTTTTAGTTATAACAGCACGCAGAAAGGGTATCATTCCATCGTGACGTATTTATGTCACGTGTTACATTAGGCTTTCCAGCCTTTGGGTTTTCTGTCGATGGCTTCCTTTAAACGTGGCCCACTTAAGCGCTTGTGGGAAGGATATCACAATTGCGCAAACGTTCGAAATAATCTCCTCTCGGGTCCGATGTCCACACACTGCTGGGAGCGTCATCCTTCACGAAGGATTGCAGGAAACACCATTTTTCGCTATAATAATATTCATAACTCTTGCACGTGAAAGACGGGTATTGTACGCAGAACGTTTCACACGTAGATACGGAGGAGACGCCGAAATAGCTGACGTTGTTAAGCAGCCAGACCACGTAGCCCTGAATTCTGCTGAAGGAATTAGAATACGTCGAGCAATCTGCAACAGAGGTAAGTTAAGATTGAAAATCGTAGCGCTCGGAGAATGGGCTTGTGGGTTAATATGGCGCAATATTTATTTATTTATAGGATTGGCAAAGAAATAGCATGTCTCGAATATCGTTTTCTCACCGAATAATAAATTCAATTTGTGACATAAATGGCCTTTGTTGAACGAAACATATATATACTCACACGCAAAAGAAACGTAAGTCGAGTATGCAGTATACATGTTATTTATTTTCAACAGTAAAATCAAAAAAATTGACTGAAGGCAGTTTAATGGACAGGTGACATAATTTATTTTTTTTCAATTGTTCAGGGCTTACACAGTTTCGAGTCAATACCCAAAATGTCAGTGAATACCTGGTGTGAACACCATTAGCATTGATCACTGCCACAAATCTCCTGTACATTGAGTGGATCAGACGATTTGTGAAGGCCCTAGGGATCCTCCTGCACATATCCAGAGCAGCCGTGCGTAGTTCATCGGCAGTTGTAGGGATTTGGCGCACATTGTGCAGACGCCTTTGAACCGATTGGGTTCAGATCAGGGCTGAGGGCTGGCCACGGTAGAACACGGATGTTCTGTTGTTGCAGAAAGGCCATGGTAGCCCTGGCAACATGGGGACGAGCGTTGTCCTGCTGGAAAATGTGTTGTTGATGTTGTGCCAAAAAATGGAACAACGTGGGGTCTGATAACTTGCTCGATATACCGCTGAGCAGTGAAGCCGTGTTCCCGACCTTGACCAACATTCAGAAAGTACATGGGTCCAAGTCTCGCATTGAGTCCAATCCCTGCCCAAATCATGACCCTAGGTCCACCCCATGGATCCCTTTCCACAACGTTTCTGTCAGCGAAACGATCATCTCAACGCCACCAAATTCTGACTCTTCCGTCTGCATGGGAGACACAAAAGCGACTTTCATCAGAGAAGATGACACGCCTCCACTCACGATGACGTCAATTGTGATGACCCTGTGCCCACTGAAGTCGTGCTTGTCGATGTCGTGGTTGGAGAACAGGACGACGTGCTGGTCGGCGACATCTGAGGTCGTTGGAACGGAGACGTCGGATCACAGTGTCCCGGCTAATGTGTCGATTATGTGTTCCTATGGTCTGTCGATCACTTTCACTTGCAGTTGGTGTTGACGGGTAATCTGCCGATCTTGTCGAGGTGTGGTGACCCTAGGACGACCGCTCCGAGGAAGGTCATCTGTGATCTGTGTAGCATTGTATCGATGCAGGAGACGGTAAATTGTGGTTATGTGAACGTTGAAATGACGGGCAACATCTTGGACAGACTCTCCAGCTTCCAAACGTCCGATAGCCTGGTTTCTCTGAATTTGAGTTAGGCGTGGCATTGTTGACCAAGGAGTGGTAGGTCCAAGAATCGGCCACAGTTTTATACCCACTACAGTTCGTGACAGTTCGTGCATTTTAGATTTCGCGAGAAATGGGTGCATGATACCCACATATTCATTGAAATGGTGCGTTTTGGCGATTCGTTTTTATGTTGCGTTTTTACTCGGGGCTTCCAAAAATATCGATAACACCATCATGCTTCACTACATGCTAAAACTCGTATCAATTTATGGTTCCATGTTTGTTACCTATTTGCTTAAAACCACTTGCGTTTCTTTTGCGTGTGAGTATATAATATTTAGGTGTTCAAAAGTACAGATATTAACATCAAATCTATTGTATGTATTTTCCCTACCTGGCGTCGTAGTTGTTGTTGTCGTTGTTGTTGTTGTTGTCGTTGATGTCGTTGTTGTCGTAGTCGTTGTTGGAGTCGTTGTTGTTGTTGTTGTCGTTGTCGGAGTCGTTGTCGTCGTAGTCGTGGTCGGAGTCGTTGTCGGAGTCGTTGTCGGAGTCGTTGTTGGAGTCGTTGTTGGAGTCGTTGTCGGAGTCGTTGTCGGAGTCGTTGTCGGAGTCGTTGTTGGAGTCGTTGGAGTCGTTGTCATCGGAGTCGTTGTCGGAGTCGTTGTCGGAGTCGTTGTTGGAGTCGTTGTTGGAGTCGTTGTTGGAGTCGGTGTCGTTGTCGGAGTCGTTGCCGGAGTCGTTGTCGAAGTCGTTGTCGAAGTCGTTGTGGGTGTCGTCGTTGACGTTGGAGTCGTAGCCGATGTCGTTGTAGGAACAGTTACAGCCGTTGTTAATGTTGATACTTGATCATCGGGAAGCAAGCATACGAAGTTTGTGGTTGACGTCACGGGGATACAAACCTCTCCAAATGCACACGGGCTTGGTATGCAAGCGTGATTCTGAAAGGCATAAATCGATTTACACTTGACTGGCCGATTGATTGATATGATTAATAGATAGGGAGTGAGTGAGTAAGGTTTAACGCCGCTTTGAACAGCATTCCAGTTATATCATGGTGCGTCGGCTTAATGTGGGAGGAAAACCCGAAGTGATGCAGGTCTCAGACGTTTACCACGTCGGTGAAACCCACGAGCACGGGTGTGGTGCTGACAAACCTTGAAACATAATCGGGGCGAAACGGGATTCGAACCCACGATCATTGGCTTCTGGCGTGCCCAAGGCACGCAACTCTGCACAGCGAATATAATCCTATATATTTAAATTCTATGTGATTTCCTGCAATTTGTTAGACTATCGAGGAAAGCACCTTTGTGGTCATAACTCGATGAATCGAACACATATTGTCCAAGTCCCCACCCGAACTACTTTAGAAGCAAAGCCATCTTGTGCCTGTACCCTTCCAAACACGACGTTAAATGAGTACTTGGACTCAATCAAGTAGAATGTACAGGCTTGTGACTTTGAGGTTTAACTTCTTTCAAATAAATTCAAATTATTTCAGCATCAGAGCCTAATCATGTTGTCTTATATTAGTGGTGGGTACTTCATCTCCCAAGTTAGTGAGTGAGAGTGAGTGAGTGAGTGAGTGAGTGTGGTTTTACGCCACTTTTAGCAATATTCTAGCAATATCACGGCGGGTGACACCAGAAATGGGCTTCACGCATTGTACCCATGTCGGGAATCGAACCCAGGTCTTCGGCATAAAGAGCGAACGCTTTAACCACTAGGCTACCCGACCGCCCTCATCCCCCAAGAAGACGTCTAACTGGTAACTACGTTGTAAAAAGTGTTTTATCCATTATCCAAACTAAAACGCGTCTTGATGTCCCCCCCCCCCCCCTCCCTCCCTCCACACACACCACACACACACTCATACCCCCCAGCCCCACACTACCCCCCCCCCACACACACACTCACTACCCCCCCCCACACACACACACACACACACACACCCATACCCCCCAGCCCCACACTACCCCCCCACACACACACACACACCACACAAACCCATACCCCTAGCCCCACACTACCCCCCCACACACACACACCCCACACACACACCCATACCCCCCAGCCCCACACTACCCCCCCCACACACACACACACACCACACAAACCCATACCCCCCAGCCCCACACTACCCCCCCCCCACACACACACACACACACTACCACACACACCCACCCATCCACCCACACACGCGCGCGCACCCACACACCCACACACACACTCCCCCCCCCACACACACACACTACCACACACACATACACACATACCCCCCAGCCCCACACTACCCCCCACCCCCCTACACACACAACCCCACTACCCCCCCCACCCCACCCCCCACCCCCACACACACACACACACTACCACACCCACCCACACACACACACACACACACACACACACACACACACACACACACACACACACACACACACACACACACACACACACACACACACACACTACCCAAACCCAAACCCCATACCCCAAACTTGTTTGGAATTGTTTAGGACGATTATGTTTTAGGTAGAATAGGCCTTCAGCAACCCATGCTTGCCGAAAATGGCGACTATGCTTGTCGTAAAAGGCGACTAACGGGATCGGGGGTCAGGCTCGCTGACTTGGTTGATACATGTCATCGATCCCATTTGCGTTGATCGATGCCCATGATGTCAATCACTGGATTATCTGGTCCAGACTTTACAGAACGCCGTCATATAGCTGGAATATTGCTAAGTGCGGCGTTAAACAACAAACCAAACCAAACCTAAATGTGTTTGAATTCAACGATATTATCAAATAAGAAAATGTGATTGATCACTTACAGACTTTAATGGTATCACACAACGATCGACATTTCTTTTCTGACTTGATTTTTTTGCACTGTGATTAATTTCCCCCGAGACACTGCGTGAGTTTGATATAACGATTGTTAGGACAGTAGATCTGCTGTAAACGTGCGTGCCTCGTATTGACGCGCGAAAGGGATGGGGTAGCTATGGAATGAGATCATGAACAATATTCCACAGTTTTTTTAACAAGCTTTGTTCAAAACATGATAAGATGTTGGGATGTAGAGATCCTTGGTGAGGGGAGGTGAAATTGGTTTTAACGTCGCGTCCAAGATTATTGCACTTATATAGCGACGAGCATGCACGTGTGTGTGTGTGTGTGTGTGGCTGCTTGTACTAGTTCGGACTGATGCCGATTTATAGTGCTAGCCCACTGAGATACCATGCCGCAGTTTAACATGAATACCCCACTCAGACACAGTATACTGACTCCGAGCCGACCAGTCCTTGTTTAGCCCCTTAATGCCGAGCGCCAGACAGGGTAACAACAAGTACCATCTTTTAACGGGAGATCCTGGCATGTGTTATATGTCATAACGTTTCTCTAAGCACGTTTAGAGCTAAATATATCTAGCATCCGTTTTATACCTTCACACAGTATTACAGTGTATAACTGTGGTAATATCTTATGTACACGGCATGAAACAACTCTGTATTGCAGCTGATGGCAGAACAAAGTCATTGTAGTGTGTACGTATCATAAACTAGATTTGATAGTGATAGGGATCATTATACAGCTAGTTTGAATCTTAATGGTCTTATTTTCAAGTGCTAGATTCTGTTCATGTGTGTACAAACAGAACACAATACCAGAGAATACTGCTCTAGGGACCATGTACCGTTCCCTTATATCACACACACACACACACACACACACACACACACACACACACACACACACACACACACACACACACACACACACACACACTTGGAAAGGTCATATATGTTATAAAATCATTTCCATTTAGAACGAGGAAATCAAGGACTAAAACTATGACTATTGTTATGAATATGATAATAATATTAAATTCATGACATCATATCTGATAAACTACCCTTAAAACTTCGTACAGTGAAGGACCGTCTCCGTGGTCCAGTGGAAAGAGGGTCTTCTTGGAGAGCAGAAGGTCGGTGGTTCCACCATACCAAAGGACGTTCAAGATGGCACTTGTTGTCATGGTATCTTTGGGTAGCAGTATAAAACCGGCATTAGTTCTGACGAGTAAACCCCATTACGCGACGTTAAACCCCATTTCACCTATCCTCACCACGCTCAAAGAAACCCCTTACTGAAATATCGTCAGTGCATTTGGTATATTCACACTTGTATCGCTATAACCGGTCCGGCCAGGAAATTCGCGAAAGTCTGGTTGTTATAGCTAGTTGCACTGTTGATAAACCGTTCTCTATTGGTTTATTATTCATAGAAGACTTGTGTCTGGAACGCAGCATGGCGACATAGGTACATTGTTCCTGTATGTCTTGAGAAAATATATTTCTCGCTTTTACTTGTCACTTTTCCTTAAAATTCATTTTTTAATGTTACTTTTAATACTCTACCCCCTCGTCATACCGACCTGTATGTGTTTTGTGATTTAAGTTAGGAACATTAATTTTGTGAATGAGTGAGTGAGTATGGTTTTACGCCGCTTTTAGCAATATCCCAGCAATATCACGGCAGGGGACACCAGAAATGGGCTTCACACATTGTACCCATGTCGGGAATCGAACCCGGGTCTTCGGCGTGACGAGCGAACGCTTAAACCACTAGGCTACCCGACCGCCCCTCTGTGAATGAAGAGTGTACATTACTCTAATACAGTACTGAACGTACCTCACACCAGTTATGCATCTACAGAAGCTTGTAATATTTCTGTTTCATTCCTGAATAATCAAATTTTCCTTGTGTTCATTGAAATTCCTGTATTCTGATTAGCTGAATTGGTCACGTGTTATTGAATTCATTTCCAAATGAATGTAAAAAATTTAGCCACGCCCACCGAGGCGGACTACTTTTATTGCTACGTAATGTCGGGGAATCCCATTATTACAGTCGAGGGAATTCCCTTTCTGCTCACGTGTATCGTCATGCACAGTCATGCATTTAGCGAAATTCATGCATATTCATTGTCCATACAACCCTTGAGACCGAAGGCCGAGAAGGAATGAAACATCAAACGTGCAGGCCCGCTCGCATCGGATCCACAAATTTCATGTCTTCGGGTTTAATTTGTAACTAGCATTTTCCAACTGTGTCTTCCCGTTCTCAGGGATCTAATGTTTGAATATGGCGGCAACTGGCCATGTCATTTGAAACAGCCGCCTTCTCCCGGACATATTTGTTCTGACTCGTGACAGTCTGACCTTTGCAGTTCTTTTCGCCTCTTGCCTTGACTGACAGGTCCTATGAACTTTGCTTTGATTCTACTCTCTACTCTCAAGATATACGCATAAATTAAACAATCACCTGATTCATGTCACGCCACAGTATGTATTCCTACACCTGGAATGTTTATCAATCTCGTCATTTTTTCCTTCTTTGACAATAAACAACTGTTTTTGGTTAAACTATTGTATGTTTTTGTTGTCGAATTTATTATAAGCATTGGAATTTTGTAAGAATCCGCTACGCGGATTCATACAGTATGCACATCGGTTTTTTTATTCATACCTCAATGAACCGAAAAAAATACACAGTCAATCCTTAATTGCACTTATAATGACGATATCACGTGTTTCTGAAACTCTCGATATATTGCACATTATCAATAGGACAAGGCGTAGTTTCCTTTAATTGGCTAAATACGGTCTTCCTGACAATATTCGCAATGTACAGAGAAATGTGATTACGTCCCTCGAATGAGTGAGATCGACATGTGGAATGGAACTCGAGTCTGCGGCGAGCTTAGCGAACACTTTTACTGCAAGGCCATCCTCGCCTGATTACACCTCTGAAAAGCAGCGCCACTGATTCCAGTTAGTTGG